GGACCTATCCACGTCATCATTTACCCAGAATGCTTTGCGTGTAAATAAAATTGCTCCGGCTGTGCTAAAATATATTTTTAAAAATGTACTAAACTGAACATCCTACAGTATTTTTACAGTCTTTATTTTACAGTTAAAATAAATGTTTATCAAATAAAGTCTAATGTTACAACTAATCGGGGATCACTTTAAACTGATCTGAGTTTTTTTTTAAATAATTCTTGATCTAGAATATCTCATACATTCAGTTTAGACAAATACAAATGTTATAAAGCTTTATACAGTTTGGAGTACAAAGTCCGGTCCAGCTGAGAACATAGTTATAAACAACTGAAGAAATGAAACAAAGACGCTTATCAGATGAAAGCTTATCTTATCAGGACAATACTGGACTGTGGAACAAAGTCGGACTGCTCGTTTGATCTCTGCTGTAAATAAAGTTTGAATTTAATCCATTGAAGTTTATTGTGTCTATTTATATGACAAATCTTAACTTTACTTGGTTACCAGACACTTTGTTATTTTATGTCTCTTCAGATATACCTGACACGTATGCTTCCGTCTTCATCAGCTGTGACACCTCTGATGAGGACAGAAGCATACYWCAAAACCCGTCCGGTYTGTCTGAAGAGACATAAAATAASAAAGTGTCTGGTGACYAAGAAAAGTTGAGATTTAAAGTTTGAATTTTTTCAGGAAAACCCTTTCTCCAATAAAACCTGGCAGACGTGTTCCGTTGTGGGAAACGGCGGGATCCTGGCGAACAGCAGCTGCGGGAAAAGCATCGACTCGGCTGGATTCATCATCAGGTGAGCCCGGTGGAGACCATCCTGCTCGTCTTTGTGGAACTTCCTGTGAGTTCGGTCTTTGTTCAGGTGCAACCTGCCTCCTTTGTCCCTCGGATACCAGAAYGACGTTGGCGTCAAGACGAGCCTGGTGACGGCCAACCCCAGCATCCTGTCGAAGAAGTGAGCCTCAGAATGAATCAGCTCAGATTTTTGTGTTTGTTTTTGTTTACGTCAGTCCGATGCTTGCAGGTACGGAGCGCTGATGGAGCGTCGCTGTAAGTTTGTGGAAACCCTGTGCCAGTACGGCAGCTCCTTCCTGCTCCTTCCCGCCTTCTCCTTTAACACCAACACCGCCCTCTCTCTGCGGGCCCTCTACACCACCGAGGACTTCGGCAGTCCCATCAGAGCGGTCTTCTTTAACCCGGAGTACCTGCAGAGCCTGGACCAGTTCTGGCGCTCTCGGGGCCTGAAGGCYCCGCGGCTCAGCACTGGGATCATGATGGTGAGCCTGGCGCTGGAGCTCTGCGAGAACGTGGACCTGTACGGGTTCTGGCCCTTCAGCGTTCACCCCGACGACCTCCAAGAACTGACTCACCACTACTACGACGACACCAAAGCTAAAGGAAACTTCCACGTCATGCCGGATGAGTTTGAACGCCTGGTGCAGCTGCACAGCCAGGGCGTGATCAGGCTGCACCTCGGGCACTGTGAACCGGACCCGTTAATCCAACAAAAAACTGATCACTGACACTTCACAGACACAGTGAGCATCTTCTAAACACTCCTGCAGCATTTCGCTCACTACCACTGACAAATACGAGGCGGCATTTATATTTTAAAGAAAAATACAAAATCACCTTAAATACAGGGACAATAAAATTTGTATTTTTGTAACTGAAAAGGTCTTCTKCCTGTGTGGAACAACTGTTTTCATCTTAAATATGAACATGAAAGAACACTGTATCATCTCAAGGTATAAAAAAAAAACACACAGCATCCTGAATGACTGAGTGAACCTGAGTCAAACTCAAGGCTTGCGGGCCAAATGTGGCCTGCCACTGCATTTTATGTGGCACAAGAGCTTCTTACGTATTGCTCACACCAAATGTGTTTCGAGCGTCAGCTTTACTTGCAAAGTTTATGGTGAACGCGTCAAGGATCAACAGGAAGTGCAGTGGCTCGTCGCATTTTGAGCGTTCGACGCACTTGATGTGCGTTACAAGCTCGTCGAACGCTGGAGTTGGAAAATCTGAACTTTTGCAGCTCAACGCGGCACATCAACCAATCAGAGAGACTCCACTGTGTGACGTAGTGACACATTTTCCGACGGGACGGTTTCCTGAATGATGTCCACTAACCTGAGACAGATGGAGAGGAGCTCTTTAGCTGAAATCGAGCGTCTTTTAATAGTATTTCTGCTTTATTTATTTCACATTTAATCAGGCGTTTCTTTCAGTGTTTATAAYTCTTTTTATTTCCARGTGTAGCTTTTACATTTCTATGTCTCCTGATTCTACTTTACTTTATGCATCTAGTGTGCATGCTGKTGCTGCCTCAGTTTAGCTTAAGGTTTAGTTTAAAACAAAGACACATCTAAGTGTTTTCCTCCTTGCCTTTGTTTTAAAACTAAACTTTAAACTTTAAGCAGCACAGTACATCTGCACATGGATCCTGCTCCTTCCTGTCTGTTGACCAATAGGAGAGGAGCTGACCCAAGAAGCTCCGCCCACCGTTTTTGCATAACGAAGCAGAAATGTAAAAGGTAAAGTAAAAACAGGGGACAGAGAAATGTAAAAGTGACTCATGGAAATAAAAAGACTCGAGGGAAGAATTATAAAAAAATAAAAATAAAATATAATCATTTAAGAGACACAAATGCATGAACAAGTAAAAGGAAAAACAAAATATACATTTTTAAAAACAATAAAAATTAAATTATGTGCCAAAAATACACCATTTATTGAAGCTGGAAAAATYAATATTAAAAAAATAAATATTAAGTTCAGTTAGGTTCAGTTAAGACATGAGGTAAAATTCTCTTTTTTAATTTAATTGGTGCATTTTAAGTGTATTTATTTATTTATTTATTGGTCCATTTATATATTTCCGCTTTTATTTCTTATTAAGTGGTTCTCAAACAGTTTACCTGGATAAATAAAGGTTAAATAAATAAATAAAAATGTCAGATTCAGTCCTCCGTAAAGCTGTCCCTGGATTAGAAAAATAAACCACAGTCTGAATAATCTGACTCCCTCTAGTGGCCATCAGGAGAACTGCAGCAAGAAATCAAAATTTAGCGGATGAATGGATCTCTGTGGATCACTGTCAGTTTTTATGTCTGAACATGAGTGACAGGTGGGAGAGAAAGACCACCTGTCCAAACTGGACCTCTACAAAAACTTTTTTTATGTCTGATTTCTTACTTTGTTTTAATTTACCTGTGGGAAAACAGCCTGTTTGACCGGATCAGGATTAAACAGCCGTTAAAGATTGAGGATTTTCCTTTCAAGAAGTCATGCTTGTTAACTTGTAAATGCTCTGTGAAGCTCTGACCTTATAAAAAGCCAGGACAGCTTGTTCTAGGTTATTTTTCCTCTTTGTAACAATTTGAAAGCACCGGCTATCACAGAACAGAGACAAAAAGCAGATGAGAGAGTACTTTGTGTCCCACTCATTTTGTCTTTTTTTCAGAGAAGACAGACAAGTACAAGAACTGTTCCTCAGGGCAAATCTACTGACCCGAAAACTGCTTAAATTCCTCGTTTTCTCATTGAAACAGAGTCCAACCTAAAATAGTTGAGAAGATGCACGGCCACACGCTGCCAGTCATGCAGAATTGAGCAGATGGGGTCTGTGAGTACCCTCACGGCGCCTTTTCTTCACTTTCTGAAGCTCTGCCTCCTCTGACAGGAAGTTTGCCTCTCGTGGCCTCGGCTAAATATCTGAGCGTCACCAGCTGCTCCTCTTCAAAACAGCAATAAAAACACGAGTCTTGGCTGGGAAAGGTCGACTGGCCTTCTAAGGACGAGCCGAGACCTGACAGTGTCTGAGAAGCTCAATAAATCACCTGTGAGTTCCTGAACTCTGGGCTCCGGCCCAGAACTGAAGGGCTTCTAGTGTTTTATGTCTGCCTGATGCTGACAAGATAAAGTCCTGCTCAAGAGTTCCAGCCTCAAACCTTCACAGCTTCTCATCTGTCAAACGAAACTCATTCAGTTTGAATATTTGCTCCTTTTCTCCAGCTGCGTAAAATGAAACAAAAAGTCTGTTTAAAAAGCTTCTTTTGAGGAGTTTGAGTGTTTTCGTGTGCAGATTTATCACCAGAGGCCACCTTTATTAAAGGGATTGTGTTGCACAGCTTCAAAAATAAAACTTTAAAAATGAAATTAAATCAAAATGTGCAACTCAGTCAGGAATAATGTGCTAATTCAGACATACTTCATATTATTTAAAGTTTAAACATGTCACTGGAGTTTACATGTCTGAACTGACATGTTCCTAATAGTTTTACACAGTTAAATAAACATTCAGCCCTCAGCTGCTGTTTTAAATTGTCTAAAAACGTAAAAATGTTTAACAAACTCCTTTGATTTTTTGTTCAAATACAAATTATACATCAACAATAAAGATTTTATGGTTTTCTATTACACCTGGAAGTTGTTTTCTTTAAATACTTACATTTCATTTGGGWCTGAACCAGCTGATATTAACTTGCACTGACAAGGGGCAGGCTTGCTTTCTAATTACTGAGAGAGTTCAGCTGGTGTCTTGGCTTTCCATGCCTTTTTACACCTCCCTTTCTTCATGTGTTCAATACTTTTTCCCTGTGCCATTCCACATTATTACAAATAACTTCATTTCTGGACATTTATGGTTTGATTTCTTTGTATGTATGGATCACTTGGGTTGTTACCAACATCTGGTGAAAATTTCATGTCATTAGCACCTCTAGTAATATATTTACTGAGAAAAATGGTGACGTGTTCAATACTTATTTTACCCGCTGTTTGTCTTATATAAAACACTTATTATGTGTGAGTTTTCTGCTGCTCAGAGGTTAAGAATGTGGAGATTTGACCTCTTAGTTTTTGCAAAGTGACAGTTTGAGGGTTATATTTTTATTCTGTCTCTTTTAGTCTCTTRTATATTGCAGTCAGGGAGTGAGAGACATATGAGGTCACCATAATGACCAAAACATTGCTTTCAAATCTTATACAACCCCAATTCCATTGAAGTTAGGATGTGTAAAATATAAACAAAATATGATGATTTGCATCCTTTTCAACCTGTATTCAAATGGATACACAACAAAAACAAGAAATTTAACGTTCAAATGGATAAACTTTATTGTTTTTTGCAAATATTGACTCATTTTGAGTTGGATGCTGCTGCATGTTTTAAAAGATGCTGGAACGGGGGCAAGAAAAGACTGGGAAAACAGGTTTGGTGCGTTCTACAGGTGACCAGATTAACTGGAAACAAGCGAGCGTTGTGATTGCAGGGAGCATCCCAGAAAGACTCAGTTGTTCATAAGCAAGGACAGGGTGAGGTTCACCACTTTGTGAACAAATGTTTCCMAACTGCAAGGAAGTTAGGTATTTTATCATCTACAGTTCATAATTTCATCAAAAGATTCAGAGAATCAGAAAAATCATTTGTGTTTTTATTGAATATAGGTTGAAAATGATTTYTAAATCATTGTAGTCTGTTATTTTTCTTACACAARGTCCCAACTTCATTGGATTTGGGACTGTCCTTRCCACAGTTCACACAATAAAATATAAACATTTCTCCTGTTTAGTGTAATGTAAAACTGATTTTAGTTCAGCAGATCTCACAACAACGTGGAAAAAAAGGAGAAAACGCTGTTTATTACAATTCAGTCCAAAGGGTTGCTACATACATTAAATACTGAGACTTTCAACACAAAAGGAAACAACTGACTTATTTTTGTTCTTTAGTCTCCTCAGCTGATGTTTTTATAAAAATATACTATGTCATATGTCACATTTTTTACAATCAGAAGGCAATTTAAATCACAAGAATCATAAATATTCATACAGATGGTTGTTTAAAAAAATGATTTTACAACAAAAAACTTTATTGAAAACCTGAACGTTTTCATATAAAACACTGGCCTAAACCTAAAAATCGACTCCACTTTGGAGTTTATTATTTAAAAAAAAATGCCATTCCGAAACAAACAAACAAAAAAGGCAACACACYTACAGCGATACAAAAAAAAAAGTGTTATAAAAGGGTCGACGCAGTTCCAGGGCTGGAGCAGAATGGCCACGATATTCCAAAGCTACAAACCACCGAGCTTCATGGCAGCCTGGTGTAAAATCTTGGCACTGACACTTTGCATCACACAAACAGTGTTTGGTCTCTTTGTGTTTACAGTAATGGCTTTGAGCTCGCTCCATTACACTATTGCAGACTTGTGCATTTAACACTGAACATGTAGCACTGGGAAGACAGGAGTGACACAAGTCTGGTCAATAGAAAAAGAACACTGTAGCTGGTTAAGGTGTTGCAGGTTAAAGTTTTCATTGTTAATGAAATAAAAACCCAGCAGGGGGCAGTCAGCTGCAAGGCAGCTGGAGCAACWGTTTGTTCTGTCCACCAACAAGAAAACAGCCCAGGAGAGGAACTCAGAGGTTGGAAGAACAAAGTATAAAAACGGGAGTGTTTTATGCGTTTTGCTAAAAGATTTGAGTCACACCTGAGCAGCAACTCATGTAGCACTTTTATCTAAAAAAGCACAGAAAACCCCAAAGAAAACACAGCTGAACACTTTGAAATGACACTTCAAAGAACAAAAGACTTCGTAGTAAAAACAAGGCTCCTTCAGGGTGCTGCCACCAATTCAGAGTCATTATTTTGATTTCATACAGCCCAGTTTTATTCAAGTAGGAGGAGGAGTTTCTTGTTGTGTGGGCYGATTTGTATAAATGTGATCGGTCGAATCGAAGTGAAAAGTTATAGTAATGGTTATAGTAAAGTTATTGTTAAAATGTAAACATAATTTYTTGACTTAAACTTCCTGTCTGGATTTATGACTTATATTAATATTCATATTAAAGGCATGTTAAGGCTGCTTTAACTGAGCCAAATTGTTGCATGTCCCTCCACAGCGTTCAGATTATGTACGGCTAGCACCATCCTGTATAGAAGAGGATTAGGACCACAGAGCAAAATAATAATAGTTTGTCCTGACTTTAATAAACTTTGACTCTGACTGGGACTAAAGTAAGAATTCTGAATTAGGAACTTAGGGACATTAAATTTATAAAATAATATTCTGACTAAAGTCAGAATTCAGACCTTTTTTCTCAGATTTCTGAGCTAAAAGTCAGAATT